TATATATATATATATATATAAACAACTTACAGTTGCTTGTGCCTCTTCTTAGCTAGCAAACATTGATTTCATTTTCAATGAAAAAAGAAAAAAAAACAGTTTGTCAAATTCTGGTTCTGTAAATGTGAAGCTATTTCAAGATATATTTGTATACTTCTTAAAATTTCAGTTAACTAATTTGAGGTAGTAGGTAGTTACCCTCAGATGGTCTTCTATTTTTATTTTACTGTTGAAGTAGAACAATCTGATCTAAGAGCACTATTAGAAATGTTTCTGTGTTGATTTAATGCATGTAACTTCAACATTGCATTTCAGAATCTCCTGTTCTGCAAGAAATCCTCTCTCACCCCCAGAATCAGCAAGAATTTCCATTAATACATTATATAAATACAGAAATGGAACAAAAATAAAACATATGCAACTCATCTGTCAAACCAATGCCACAAGCTATGCTCTGTACTCTAATTGGCACACTTTGACACAACCTGGCAACCTACTTTTGGTTTGGTCAGAATATTTCATGCTCCTCATCTAAGAGCCATAAAATGCCATTCATATTTGAACATATAATTACAGAGGATATGAAAAAACAAGAAGATCTCTAACCTCCAGGAGTGTCTGCGCTCTCAACAAGTTCAGACATCCCCTCCCAAGTTTCTCCAACGCCCCCGGCATCCGAGTTAGAACCTGCTCCGTTTGAGAACACTTCGCCCACAGTGAGAATCATTCCTGCTGTCAAATCTGACCTCTGCTCTACTGAACCACAAGAAAAATGCTGACTTGCCAATGAAAACAAAGAGACTAATCAAATAAAAACCTAGACAGAAACTACTCTCTACTCTGACTCTATAAAAAAGCTGACAGGAGGCAGAAGAGTGAAAAAAGCAAGACAGAAAAAGAGGCAGAGAGACATCCAAGCAAAGAAAGGAGAGAAAGTATTCCAGACGCCTACCGAACACAGATGTGGAAACATACACATACACAGATCCTCTTACTAGCGCTTCACTTAAAAACACACATACAGCCCTCCCTCTAAACATCTAATCCCACAATCCCCTCCCCTGCTGTTTCAGACTCCACCCCCTCACGTCAGAGACAGCCCATCGCCCAGTTAAGCCCCCCAGTGCATTTTACATAAGTTTCCTTATATAAGCTCTCAAACCGGGGGGACTGAAGGGCCAACTTGAGATTCACCCACCCTCATTCAACATGTCCCCCACTGATTTTTCTGCAAATCTCACGCTCTTTGTCCCAATCCTGGTCATAAGGATGTCACAGTGAAAACTTCTGCTTTTCTTAATGAACAGCAACACACTGCACTCAACACTTCAACGGAAGACCAAATGGTCTGTATATGAATAATGTTCATATTTACTGTCACGTTTTGAGCAGGCCACAGTTATTCGGCAAACAGTCAAAAGCATAAAGCTTTGAATGCATGTATTGATTGTATAATGTTTAATGCTTGGATTGAATCAGCTGGTAGGCTGCAGTGTTTTAGTGCTGATAATGTTAGCTGGGGTCAAATGCATTAGCTTGTATTAACATTAGGATGTATTAACAGCAGCTCACGTAGTTTTACTCTGAAAGCGATGACACATTATAATCTTTCGTTTATTTAGTCTCATTTCATGACCATCATACTGAACCAAGAATTCCAACCAACCTGGTTATTTAAGCAATAACCACCTAATTTTGAATTCATACAATTTCAAACATACAGTGGGTATAGAAAAGAATCACACCCCTTTAAAATAATCAAATTTTGTTGCTTTGCAGCCTGAAATGGAGATGGACACAGTTTTTGTTTTATCCAACTGTATTTACTCATTTCAATTTAAAACATCCAACTGAAAGATATAACAACACGTCAGAAAAAAACAAAAAAACAATCAATGAGTTGGGAAAAATGATCACTCCCTTGTGTCAGTATTTTGTTGAACCAACTTTTGCTTTAATTACAGCCTTTAGTCTGTTGGGATTTGTCTCTACTAACTTTGCAAAATCTATGTTTTGCAATATTTGCCCACTCTTTTTTGCAGAACTGCTCAAGTTCAGTTAAATTGAATGGTGAGTCTTCAAGTCATTCCACAGATTTTCAATGAGGTTTAAAGGGGTCATATGATGCGATTTCAAGTTTTCCTTTCTCTTTGGAGTGTTACAAGCTCTTGGTGCATAAAGAAGATCTGTAAAGTTGCAAAGACTAAAGTCTCAAATCCAAAGAGATATTCTTTATAAAAGTTAAGAGTCAACCACGCCTACCTAAAACGGCTCGTTCTAACACGCCCCCACACTGTAAACCCGAACAGTACTCCTTCTATCCTGACAAGTGCTCCAGTCCCTTCTGCAGAGAAACACCCCTATAACAGGATATTACCTCCTCCATGCTTTACTGTAGGAATGCTGTTATTTGGATGGTGAGCTGTATTGGATTTCCACTAGACATATCGTTTGGTGTTGAGGCCAAATAATTAAATTTTTGTCTCATCTGCCTCAGAATCTTCAAGATGTGTTTGAGGAGTGCTAACTCAGGCTGCGTTTACACTTGGCATTAACATGCGATCACCGTGATCTGATCAGGCAGACCGGATCATCAGTCAATCAGGACATTCACTTTTGGGGGGTTTTCCACTGGGTACGGTACCTGGTACTTTTTTTAGTACCACCTCGGTTGAGGTTCCAAATTTTTTTTATTTTTTTTTTTTATTGCAAACAATTCAGAGTTGACGTCAGTTTCTACAGTGTCAAATAAGCAAATCATTTCACACTTAGATAAATTAAGTTTGAGCCCAGAAGCGTTAGAGAAGGCATTAATTGTAGTTAAGACTGGAGAAACTTGCTCTTTATCCTTCAAGAATAAAGTAGTATCATCTGCCAATTGTGAGATTCGAATCTCTCTGCCAAAGATATTAAGGCCAGCAAAGTTATTATTATGCAAAATATCTATGGATAATGTTTCTACAACAAATAAAAATAAAAAGGGACTCAAAGGGCAACCTTGACGTATTCCGCGAAGAATAGGAAACCTTGGTGATGTACGAGAATTTAAAATTATACAGCTATCTATTTCTTTGTACCGAGCCGAGTCGTACCACGCAGTGGAAAAGCGCCATGAGATCCGATCACAATGCGTCCTCGACTACCTCTGGACCAGGACACGCTGATCGGATAACATTCCGATCAGAAGCGCGTTTACACTTGTCTTTCAAAGTGTATGTGTACAACATCCGGATACAGGTCGCATGTTAATGCCAAGTGTAAACGCAGCCTCAGTGATTCTGTTTTTTTTTTTGTTTTGTTTTTTACTTGTTGGTGTTATATCTTTCACTTTGATGTTCTAAGTACTGAGTAAATACAGCTGGATAAAACAAAAACTGTGTCCGTCTTCATTTCAGGCTGCGAAGAAATAAATATTTCTTTTAAAAAAAACTTACTTTAAATATAATTATTTTACGTGTCTGTTTTTTGAATGCTTATTGGAGTTACAACTGGACATTCAGTTCTTAAATTATGAAAGACTCAAATTAAAACTGAAATTATTTTCCAACTAATTATATATTTAAAGGAAATAATAATAACAAAAAAAGCAAAACAATAATAACAACAATAATAAAGAGACTTTATGTGGGGAGAAAACTCCAGCAATGCTTACAGTAATATTACAAGAATGTATGAAAAATAATGTTTGATCTGGATGGAATTAATCTTGATTCGACTGTGATCCCCAGGTTAAAGCCATCTGAACTAAACTGACTGTTAACATTTTTTTGTTTGTTTTTTTACATATACACAACACATATTTTGTATATACAACCATATTCAAAATATATAGTATAACATGGCCAAACTGTCCTGATTTGGAAAAAGACATTCAGAAGCTCATCCAAATGGCTGGTCTAAAATAAACGTTTCTCTGTTTAATACTGATTCAGTAGCCTAGTCTGATCTGAGGTCAGTTTGTAGAGGCATCCAGAGAGATGCCTCACTTGCACAGCTGTGGCGTAAGAGGATAAGATCTGTCCCTAATCCAGTGCCCCTCCCCCACATCTCCCTTTCTTCCTCCCCCCTCTCATAGCATTGCTTTCTGTAAATCTGAGTCGGATTTTAATCTCAACCATGGTGGATTAGAGAATCCATTATGTGCTTGTTGGAGCAAGGCTGAAAAGGCACGGCTGAGCATCAGGTGTAAATGACTCATCAAAGAGGTGGGGGAAAAAAGAGGTGATGAATAATGCCTGAGGGGTGAGATACTTCCAGTTAAGGTCCATATGTTTACTGCACATGTGCTTTAAATGATGCATTTAGGAGGAAAGTGCAGTGTGTTTAGAAGCTGAATTTAGCTGCCATCTTAACCTTTAGCATTAGTCTGTTAAACAAATAGCGATTTTGGTTAATTTCACACTCATTTACAAACATAAATGTGAGAAATGGTTCCAAAGAAGTAAATAAGGAGACAGTGAGTTAACAAATTACCTCTGACAGCCCAGGAACATGCAAATCATCATCAGCTTTCAGGTACAATCTGCAGTCGCAGAAAAATCCCATTATCTTTGTAAGGTATTAGCTTGCAGGTTACTTCCAAGCTACACATAGAGAGCTTTTGCAACTCTGAAGTACTAATATAAGCCTGTAGCAACTGCAGAGTGTACCTTTAGCAGCATTTTATGTCTACCATGTCCCATAGATGTAATTAAAATAAACCAACTTAACCAAACCCAAATGAAGGCTTTGATTTCCCAACAACAGTAAGTATATGTAGTTAACATTTGCTCTTTGTTAGCATTATTGCAGCACTAGGTACAAAAAATATATATTATTAGGCATAAATGTGTGGAGAGAGACTGTGAGGACTTATCTGACCAACAAATAATGGAGTTACAATACATTGTAAACTATCCCAAATATTCATGATTATAGTTACATAAGATTAAACCTAAAACCTTTAAAAAAATAGTTTGTTACTTGAAATAAAAATGCATAACAAAATAAAAAATATATATAAAATAAAATACGTAAATGATATGTTTAACTTGATATTAAAATAACTAAAGCTGAAATAAAACTTAATAAGTACTATATAGACATATTTAAAAACAAAAATGATAAATTATTAAAAACCCCAAAATTATTTTTGTACTAAAATTAAAATGAAAACAGAAAATATAAAATTAAAAAACTAATTCAACTAAATACAATGAATAAAAATATGATTTACTTTGGGGGAAGTCGTGGCCTAATGGTTACAGAGTTGGACTTGTAACCCAAAGGTTGCAAGTTTGAGTCTCGTACTGGCAGGGATTGTAGGTGGGGGGAGTGAATGTGCAGTGCTCTCTTCCACCCTTCCACCTTCAATACCACAACTGCTCCCCGGGCGCCGCAGCATAAATGGCTGCCCACTGCTCCGGGTGTGTGTTCACGGTGTGTGTGTGTTCACTGCTGTGTGTGTGTGCACTTAGGATGGGTTAAATGCAGAGCACTAATTCTGAGTATGGGTAACCATACTTGGCCACATGTCACGTCGCTTTCACTTTCACTTTCATACTAAAATAAAACTGCTGATATTACAATTTGACCCTTCAAAATGTCAGTCATTTGCATGTCCGTGAATCAGGAAGGTGGCAAATGTGCAACTTCTAATGAACATACTATCAATCATTAAGCACCCTATTCAACAATTTAAAAAAAAACAGAATATGCAGAGAATCTTGAATATGCAGAGAAATTAAACTGTTTTATATCAATTTTTTACATCTTATTTAACTCTATCATTTTATGTGTTTACATCTCTCAGATCTATTTATATTAGTATACCTGATTTACTAATTACATGCTATTTTTCAGCAGTTTAACGACTCTATTACAAAAAGTGCTTGTACTCTCATAGTAAATCACAGGCCAGATAAGTGCATTCAATCTCTCTCCTGCTCACTTCACCATCTCTACCTGTGATCATGGCTGCCGATCAATGAGATTCCAGCTGTGAAGACAATGTCACATTCACTAATACAGTTCATATACTTTCAAGTAACATTGGATCAATGAACACACACGTTTCTTTGGTCACAATTACACACTCACACACAACTCACTTGTGGCCGATGCTGTTCCCACTCCCTCCCCGAGCTGCTACAAACTACTCATCCACTGCTCCAGACAAGTGCAGAATCTATAGAGAGAGAAGGACCATTTAACACTGCTTGCGCAAACGCACACACTTACACACAGTTCTCCTCCTGGGTCGGGACAGAGACTGTCACAGCCCTGATCCTGACACAGTGGGTCATTGTGTGAACTGTCATTTGAGGTCAGGAGGCAGTTGCCTGGTTTGTTGTGTTAAGTAAAATCCACACCATTTCTGCTCCATTCACCTCTTCATGTCACAAACTTAAAAAAAATGAATTCTTTATAAAAGCAATACATGATGATGATGGTTTATTGGCATTGTATTTGCCATCTGACATACATAATGATGTGACATTCATATTGTTTGAATATGATGCACATAAATAAACTTATGCATTCATGAATTAATATAACAGGTGTGAACAACCATGAAATGTATTTCTTAAAGGAATAGTTCACCCAGAAATTAAAATTTGCTGAAAATGTACTCACCATCAGGCCATCCAAGATGTAGGCCTATGAGTTTGTTGTCTGAATCAGGAGAGGAATATGCAGAGATTGAGCACCATTTACAAGCAAAAACAGTCCAAAACAGTTCTAAACAAATATGTTGTTAGATTTTGATGCAAGAGGACAACAGGGGATGGACTTATTCTGAACCCATATTATGGCCAGAAGTGTCGATTTGAAGTTAAGATGCCTTAATGATAAATTTTCCCTTCACAGCTTTTCCCTTCACAAGATATTAATTGATGGACTGGAGTCATGTGGATTATAGTGATGTTTTTATCTGCTGTTTGGACTCTCATTCTGACGGCACCCATTCACTGCAGAACATCCATTGGTGAGCAAGTGATGTAATGCTAAATTTCTCCAAATTTGCTTCGAGGAAGAAACAAACTCATCTACATCTAAGATGGCCTCAGGATGAGTACATTTACAGCAAATTTTCATTTTTGGGTGAACTATTCCTTTAACAGTCTATTAACAGGACTGATGTCAGGTGAACAACTGGGATGTCCAGACAAGTCAGATCACAGAGCATTCATAGGCATTTTCATTTCAAGTGAAGAAGTTGGAGAGTGTGCTATGCATATTACATGTCAGATAAAAATAGGTGCCCAACATACATGTTGAATTAAGATGGATTCTCGAGCGACTGTGTAATTCTGCAAGCTTCAGTGAATATCTGGGCCATTACTGGAAACTTTCTGAACATTGAACATGTTACTACAAAAATGCAAAAGTTATGCAAGCTTTTAAAGAAAAAATCCTGGAAATATTCTGAGCATTAAAACGGGTGCACAAAAAGACATAATAATAAAACACATAACAAAAGATTTGATCATTTCATTTTTTTTTTCTAAAATTACAAAGATATGCATCAATTAATGTTTGGGTGCACCAGCTTACGAATGTCTCTCTAGTCTATCTAGTCTCATAAAGAGTGGCTGGTAACCTGGATTTGCCAACAGCCTAATGTCCTTCCCACAGCCTATGCTGCTACAGCTGACATCTCAAGAAAAGCTTGATAATTAGTGAACTTGATGGAGCGCACACACACTCGTCTCTTAACAAAGGGTACGGCACATCCCCCTGCAAACCCCCCCTCGCATGAAAATGTAGGTCAGTTTGCATGAGGAAGTGTCCTGCAAATAAGAGGATTACACCGATTGTGCCAAGTGTTACAGCAAAACAAATAATGAAAAGCAACAACAATAATTCTCATCATGGTATCATCATGTTAAGTATACAGTATGTTTATTCTATTCAAAAGGAACAATATCTACCATTTTCATTTGTGTTATTTATGCTTCATATTTTTGTACAATTTTTCCATTGAGTTAAGGGCAAAGTTTAAGTAAGTAAAAATACAATACAAAATTGAATAGTATTATATACTAAGTTAAGAATTGTGAGAGAGAAAAAAAACTCACTATAGATTTGTCAGATGTTTTGACTGCACTTGTTGGCGCATTTGATAATATGTAATTTTTAGATAAAACCTGTTAAAGGGGACTTACAGTATATTTTCATTTGTAGAAGTAGCAGTTAATTTATAAATTATAAATTTCTAACATACAAATGACATTAATTATGCAACAGTGATCAACACTGAGGATTTGAGATAATTTATGTAGCAAAAATAAAATGCCAAAAAAAGAGACAAAATTCTATTATGAACACTAAAGACAATTAATTGGCAAGACAAAATAAGTTAAATGTACTGTTAAGATTATTAGGTAAAATGTATGAATTAAGAATGAATGAATGTAAAAATGAATAAAAATTGTGGAGGGATGAAAATAATAAATTGCTCTAAAGTTTCCTGACATTGTGGTAATTGAAGCCACGCCCATTTGGAACCCCAAGTCTTCTGCGTAATGACGTAGCGGGATTCCCCGGTTACTTCACAGGAAATGTTTACGCAGGCAGATGTCCAGGGTTCGAGTGGGAGTAGGACACTGCGTAATTATGAAATAAACGAGAATGTTACACTCCGAGTAGCTATCAGACTGTACATTTAAGCAATATTCGTGGGTTTTTCACATTAGAAGGATTTTCAATTGACAAAACAATTGTTTGCCTTTAAAACAACACAATTGAGACCGACAGAAGCTGAAATGCGCAATGACTCCCACCATGTCCTCTTCCTACAGAATAGCCTACAAAATCTCGTTTCACATACAGTCAAAAGGAGACGATCGCATATGTACGCGATTAAGATTTATTTATGAAGTTGCATATAGTCCTTTTTAAACATGTTTTAATTCCCACGGGATATTTTTTTCGAGCTCCGCTCCAACAAAACTGCAGCGCGGGACGTTTAATCAATGAAGACCAGCAGATGAGCAAAAACAGATCAATATCGGCAGGACGACTCAAACAAAATCTATCCTGGCAAACGATTATCAATAATATGTATTTACAAACTATATTTCTTACAGATGTTTTCACACGCGCGGCCATTTTTGTTATTTATTCAAAGCGCGCAAAGCAGATAACCTGTTTCACCTGAACCATGACAGGACACTGGACAGATAAGCACAGACACTCAAGTCACTGTTCCCCCATCAGTGACCGAACCTGGTGCTTTCCAAACACTCACTCACACTCACACACGCGCGCAAGCACACGCACACTAAAAACGGACAGCTGGGGGCTGGACTTCCGAAGGCAAAGTCATTTCTACCCAAATGTGGCTCTTCCCAGCACATATAATGTTACTTTTAAATGAAACACAACTTGCTCCGATCCGCATTTTGCAAATAATGCGATCTATGCACTCACCTAGGTTGTTCCGAGTCCTCTCCAGTCGTCCCGGTCAGATATTCAAAGCTTTTAGTCGTGGGTCCCGTGGCTAACTATTCGGACACACACAATGCCAATCAAACGCTTAAGCCTCGCCTTTCGAGTGACGTCTGTGTGAATGGACCAATCAGAGCTCGCTCTGGGTTTACGCCTCGCCCTCTCGTGGCAGATTATGCTAGTGGTTGCATTGTTTAATGCGTTTTAACAATGCAAGAGAAGACCGGGCATGTGTGGGTGTTTTATTTAGTGAATGAGAATGAATGAAGTTTAGCGTTTTTTACTTATGTGTATAAACATATTAGAATTACTTTTATATTAGAATTTATATTATCCAATGACTAAAATAGACTACACAGGGCAAACGATAAGAATCAGGGCGATTGTTTTCCCATACAATTTGCATTGTATTTAACAGGCAAATTGTTAGTAGGCCTAACTATATAGCTCTCTTTATATCTCTACTGTTAATACCTGTTATAATATGTCATTTGACAGAATCATGTAGGCTGCATAAAATTAGCAAGATTGTAAAAGGGACAGCTTTAAAGGGGTCATATGATGCTTTTTTAAATATCATTATTTTGTGTATTTGGTGTATCAGAATATGATGACATGCTTTAATGTTCAAAAAACACATTATTTTTCAAATACTGTACATTATTGTAGGTCCTCTATGCCCCGCCTCTCTCAAACCCTTCGTTTTCTACAAAGTCCCTCCTTCCGACAAGCGCAGTCTGCTCTGATTGGCCAGCTGACCCAGTGCATTGTGATTGGCCGAACACCACAAGCACGCATCGGAAATGTAACGCCCCTTACCATAAT